TAGAGTAGAGTAGAGTAGAGTAGAGTAGAGTAGAGTAGAGTAGAGTAGAGTAGAGTAGAATAACAGAGTTGAAAGGAACCTTGGACCACCTGCTCAGGCAAGAACCAAAAGAACCACACACAAAACCTGGAAAAGTCTTCATGCCCAAATCTGTGGTCTGAACTCTTGAATCCAAAAGCATTTCTTCCAAATCTTGCACACAAGCGGAAAGGTTGTGTTTAATGATGAAAGGCACCTGAATTATTGTGTTTAATTAGGTTTTTAAATGCATTGTGAGTAATCACATTAACTGAACATAAGCTGTGATTGTAGCTATATGCAGGTTAAATCAAATCAGCTTCAGTCTTGATCCTGGACATTCACTTAAACAGAATAATGGAGTTGGAAGGAACCTTGGAGGTCTTCTAATCCAACCCCGTGCTTAAGGCAGGAAACCTTATACCATTTCAGACAAATGGTTGTCCAATCTCTTCTTAAAAACTTCCAGAGTTGCATTCATAATTGCTGGAGGCAAGTTGTTCCACTGATTAATTATTCCCACTATCAGGAAATTTCTCCTTGGTTCTTTCCTTGATTAGTTTCCACCTATTGCTTCTTGTCCTGCCCTCAGGTGCTTTGGAGAATAGCTTGACTCCCTCTTCTTTGGGGCAGCCCCTGAGATATCGGAACACTGGATGAATATCTAACATCCTTTCAATAATGATATCTATGTCACATCCACATAATTGTTGATGTTGACTTGGTAGAACCTTTGCTATATTCTCTGAGATTCTTCACCAACCCTCTCTAGGGCTGAGAAGAACCGAGAAAGAGAACAGAAACTCTACTCTGCTGCCCACTGAGGAAGCAAAAAAAAAACAAGGCCACAACTAGCATACAACTTGTCCTCTGTCCTTGCCAACACTTTTCTGTGTTGTTTTTTTTGCAGGACCATGCAAAGGCTGACTCCCAAAGTCTCTGAAAGCATGGGGAAGTGGTGGAAAGATGCTACCGACCCATGACTTCAGGACAAATGGAATGTGGAAATTACAGAGGGAAATAGGAACTTTTACCAATACAGATAGTCTTCGACTTACAACAGTTCATTCAGAGATCGTTCAACAGCACTGAGAAAACTGACTTATGGCCATTTTTCATATTTATGACAGTTGAAGCATCCCCCCCATGGTCACATGATCAAAATTCAGACAGTTGGCAACTGACCCACATTTATGACAGTTGCAAAGTTCCCGTGTGTGTGTGTGTGTGTCATGCGATCAACTTTTGTGATTTTCCAATCAGCAAAGTGAAAAGGGAAGCCAGATTCACTTAACAACCATGTTACTAACTTAACCCACTGCAACGGTTCACTTAACAACTGTGGCAAGGAAGATTGTAAAACGGGGCAAAACTCACTTAACAAATGTCTCGCTTAGCAACATAAATCTTGGGCTCAATTGTGGCCGTAAGTCAAGAACCACATGTACAAATGACCTACCCTAAAGCTCCACAGGAATTGTAGCAAAACTATCTCTCGGGTGTTTCCTTAAGATCGTGAGCAGAACTGGAAATGAACTGGCTCATTTTGTGAAGACCTGCAGGAATCCTATAGTGTGTCACAGGAGCCAGGAATACGGTACAAAATTTCAGATTGGTAAATGGTCTTGTTTGCAGAGAGGGCTCTAGAAATAAAGCCTCATTTCAGAAGCGGCCTTAGCAATGGATGTAAATTTGCATTGGGTACTCAAAAACTTTTAGGAACAACGCTGCACGCAAAACTGTGAGTGTGCATTCATAATTAGGATCTTACTTTTACTTTGACTTGGCTCGAAACCCAAAGCTGCCAACACAAGGTTCAAATGCAAAGGCAGTCCTGACAGCAGGAGCCTGACAGCACTGCAGACTTGAAGAGAAGCTGGCAAGGAACAGAGTGAATAAGCTGTGACAGAGCAATTATCATAGGGTAGATCCTAGCTCGCCTCTAATATTTGGGACAGGTGATCTATGGCTCCTGGGAATGCCCTCCCCATTCCAGGCATGTATTTTATTTCTGTCATCTGGCAAGGGTATTCATTGTAGGGGTTGAGAGGAAGGGAAGTAGGCTGAATAAATGTTCTCTATTCTGTTGTAGACAAATCCTTGCGCTCCCACACATTTCTTAGGGAATGAGTCACAAATATTTCTGCCGTAGTCTCTACCTCAGACTGGCGGAACAAGGAGCACTTCAAGTCTGAGCAAAGCCAATGCAGGAGAGATAGTGAGACACATTTCTTAACCGTGAAAAAAGTTGGGAAATATAACACATTTGTCTGGTAGAATCTCCTACCTGGAGTCCTGAAAGAAATTCATACCTTTCTGTGGCAGGCTACAAACCAATCTAGTACTGTAAGTTATAGACTATATCAATATCAAATATTGAATATATTTCTTTGCTATGTGTATATTCCATCTTTCTTCCAGCAGCTTCCAGCAACATAGTCCTCAGCTTATAACCATTCGAAGGTCATAAGTCATTAAAAAAAGTGACCTATGACTATTTTTCATACTTACGACCATTGCAGCGTCCCCATGGTCACATGATAAAAATTTGGATACCTGGCAACTGTAGCAAGAAAGGGCGTAAAGATACCTGGCAACTGTATCTACAGTGGCCAGGTCGTAAGATACCTGTTGTGGTTTGCCGGCAGATGGTGCAGACGGCAGAGGTATCAGACAGTGAGGACGAAAGAGAATCAGTCAGAGAGTCTGGTGAGGACTTGGGACGAGGGTCCTGCATCCGATGCAGAGATGGGGCCAGGACCATCTGAGAGTGGGGTGCTGCCTTTGGAGCCTAGCAGTAGCAAAGCAGAGGACCCTGGGGAGCCTGTTCCCAGTACGCAAGTGCGCAGGGCTGTTAGAAGGAGAGAGCAGCTGAAGCAGAGGAGGCAACTCGGGAGTAAGGCTGAAAGGTGATTGCCCCTCCCACAAGAGATAAAAGTCAGCCTTTGGTGATGTGCTCTTTGCAGGAAGCAAAGAAATTCATTAGATTCTGATTCCTCATTGAAGCCCTGTGAACTCTGGTTTGTCTTTGCTGGAACTTCTGTCGATTTATAATCTAGTAATTGGACTTCTGTTTCTTGGCAGCCTTCTACAACCCTGAAAGACGTGAGCTTATCTCAGAGAATTGTGTCTAATGAGTTTTGGCTGGGAATGCAAGAAATTCCCAGCATTGCATTAAAATAGGTTTGATTTTACACTCAGCTTGTGTTTCCTTAATTTGGACGAAGCCTGGGTCAGAACAATACCTGGCAACTGTAGCAAGAAAGGTCTTGCTTAGCAACATAAATTTTGGGCTCAATGATCGTCGTAAGTCGAGAACTACCTGTACACATCCTTCCCTCCTCTAATTTCCCCACCACAACAGCCATGGCACTGGGCAGTGGCATGCCAGAAACTGGGCCGCGCAAACAAGTGAAGCCCCATCCATGGGATGCAGGCAGCATTTGAAACCACGCCCCCTCCGGTCCATGGAAAAACCTCTCTCCAGGGAACCGATCCCTGGTGCCCAAAAAGTTGGGGGCCTCAGACCCCCCCCTATGGATCTCAGGACCAGAGAGAAACAGCAAGACAGTTAAGGGAGGAAACAAGGTCATTACATATTGTATGAGATGCTTAAGTCCAAAGGGAAAGAATAAGAAAGAGTTAGAAGAATTCTGCCTTAATTACAGGGATAAGTTATGCAGGAAATCCATGAGGTTCTTTTTCTTGAGTTTGCAAGCCTTGCAGGACATGATGGGGATTGTGGATGGACTTGAACTGGCATCTCTCAGTCTCAGTCCAAACGCATTCTGGCTCCTGTTTTTCTTCTTTCTCTTTACTGCCCAAAGCAAACTATTTGCATATCTCTCATAGGCTAATAATATATAGTATATCCTCAATTAAAGACTGGATAGCAAGAAGCAATAAGAGTTCCACATGGAAACTGTGCATAATAGAAAAGGCTGGGTTCTTCTGCTTACTCTCCATTCTACAACAAGCAAGATCTGAAATAAGTCTTAAAATATTAGGAATGCAAATTGGACTTGCTTGAAGCCACCCATTAGTCAATTATTATGTAGAATGACCTTTACCCAGAAGTGACATGCAGAGCCATCTCTCCAGGCACACCAGCTGTCAACCATTGCTCTTCCGGGTTCTAGCATGCGCTGGCCAGCTGGTCTTTGTATGCGCATGCGCACCAGCCAGTTGGTCTTTGCACTTGAGGGAGTGCCAAAAAATGTAAGAGCAGCTCCTGGAGTGCACAGGCCATCTGATCTTCCCATTTCTAACATGCATGCATGCGCGAAGATCACCTGGCTGGCACATGTGTCCATGTGAAGACCAGCCTCCCAGCGTGCATGTGCATTAGAAACCAGCCAGCCACCTGGTCTTCCAGTTTCTAACATGTATGTGTGCACGAAGACCAGGTGGCTGGTGCGCACGCATGCGCCAAGGTCAGCGCGCATGTGCAAGAGAAACTGGCCAGCCATCTGGTCTTCCGGTTTCTAAAGTACATGCATGTGCCGGCCAGCTGGTCTTCGCATGCACATGCACGTTAGAAGCTAAAAGACCAGGTGGCCGGTGCATGTGTGCGTGCTGGGAGCTGCTCTTCCTGGTTTTTGCTAACATTTGGGGGAAGGGACGGTTTTCAGAATTGGCTTCAGCTGGAGTTGGAAATATTGGGAAGATCAGCTAGGGAAAGTGAATGATTGGCTTAAATCCACCTTCTTTTGAGAGGGAAATCATCCTTCTTTTGGATAAATATCTAAGTAGCTTTTTTCGAAGAGTTTGGTTATTTATATAAAGGCATTCAATTATGAACCACGCCGGTAGATCGGGAGATGAACTGTTAACATTTTAACTCTGCATCTTTTCTTTTTTTACCTTGATCTTTGTCCTGGTTTTTGACCTGATGAAGAGGTATCATCTATTCTTAAGGAAGAACCACTGGACTCATCTTTCAGAGCTTCATACCTCCTCATTGGCACTTGAAAAAGAAGAAAAATCATGATTTAAGGCTGGATGAGGATATTTTATTGGCACATAAATATTCACTGATGAAAAAAGTTACTTTTGAAGGGACCACTCACACTGTTATGTCCACAGTGGCAAGATAAAAAAAAATCTGGTGGTTCTTAGAAATATTCCCTCTTTTTCTACGGAAACAGAAACTTTATTAACCAAGAAACATTGAAATGTGGGCTAACTGCACTTCCGGATGGGACACTGTTTATCTCAAGAAACAAACAAACAAAATTCTAGGAAAAGAGTAATAAAGAAACAGAGTTATATCTTTTCGTAGATCTTAAAAGATATCTGCAGCAGATTTACAAGAATTTTGTCCAATAATAGTATGTAGTACCCAATAGATATTGGTAACATGCCACTCATGTCCATCAAAATACCCATGGATACCTTTTTTTGGCACCAGTAACTTTTATGTTTTCATAATTTTTATTTTATTTTATTTTAATTAAAGAGAAAGGTAGGGAAATAGCAATAGCACTTAGGCTTATATACCACTTTACAGTGGTGTTATGGTTCTCCGGCAGCAGGTACGGACGGCTGAGGTCTCGGAGAGTGAGGACTCAGACGAGGGGCCTGCGTGTGATGCAGGGATGGGGCCAGGACCATCAGGGAGTGGAATGCTGCCTTTGAAGATTGTGGAGGCTGGCAGCAGTGATGAAGAGGTCCCTGAGGAGCCTGTGCCCAGCACGGGTGTGCGCAGGGCTGCTCGAAGGAAAGAGCAGCTGCAGCAGCACAAGTGACTTGGGAGTAAGGTAATGGCCCCTCCGTTAAGAGATAAAAGCCAGCTGAGAAACAGGAAACAAAGAATTTTTTGCACTCAAGCCTTGTGAACGTTCGGAATATCTTGATTGGTGTCGAAAGTATTTCTTTGTGTTGAAAATATTTCTTAGTAACTTTATCTAGCATTCTTGACAGCCTTGCACAACCTTGGTAAGGCTCGTTCTTATCAATTCATTTGAAACAGCCTTTTAACCATGAAGGAACGGAATTCGTAAAGAATCATTAAAAGGTTTTGCTGTTACCTCTGTTTCGTGTTTGTTTCCTTGGAACAAGGTTTGGGTCAGAACAAGTGCTTTACAGACCTCTCTAAGCCGTTTACAGAGTCAGCCTATTTCCCCCAACAATCTGGGTCCTCATTTTACTGACCTCGGAAGGATGGAAGGCTGAGTCAACCTTGAGTCTGGTGAGATTTGAACTTCCAAATTCCAGGTAGCCACTGCACTACCAGGGCTCAGGCTTCAAAAGGTCATGCTTCAAAAGGCTAGCTTCCAGAATCGTATTCATTTTCAATATTCATTTTCAATGAATATTGTGAGGATGCACACTATATAGTATGTGTAGATATTCTTAGAAAACAACATAGTTGCAACGTTTCATTTGAAATTATGTCTATCTATTCAAAATAGGGTGAAAAAAGTGATGATGGAAAGCATTCTAGGAGTTGCTGGAGATGGCAACAGAGAGCAACTTCACCATTCTGTCCTCTAATACTCTAATAATTCTTCTCAGCATGCTGGCTAAGGAATTCTGAGAGTTGGAGGCCACACCACCTTAAAGTTGCTAAGATTAAGGCACAGTGCTTTAATAGATGAGAATTTTGTAACTGGGGATGCTCTTGATTTTTACCTGTAGCCTCAGTAATCCATGATCTAACCCTCAGGGTCAGAACAGAACAGCAATACACTCTGCAGGAGGCAGCCCTTGAAGATGATTCACAAGGGCAGAACACAATTGTTCTTCTGTGAAGTGAGGTGGCTAAATGACTGAAAGCACTGGATAGTCTGCTTGCAAGCTAACAGGCGAAAGTTAAAGCAGTTCATACGCTAGAGCTTTAGGATATATAAAACATCATCCTCCAGTAGATGGAGGCAAGATCAGATGGGAAAGCCTTTTCAATGCCAGTACATCAGGGGACAGTTGCCTAGCAATTTCACTTTCATCTCTGCCCAGATATTTATAGGATACCAGTCAATTTAAGGACCAGATTATATTTTAGATTTCCTAGTGGTGTGGTGACCTAGAGGTGGAGCTCTTGCCTTACAATCAGGAGGGTGTGAGTTTGATCCTAGGTAGAGGCAGATATTTCTTTCTCTGCGCACAATGGAAATATCTCTACTGAACAAAACTCTGCATTGGTGACAGGAAGGGCATCTGGCCAATAAACACTTAGCTCCGTTCATTTGCCAAGACTCCACACCGCAAGGGATTATGGGATTGTTAAAAGATGATTATATTTTAGATTTCCCACTGACAGATTTTTTAAATCACAGAGCTGTATTTTTTGAACTTATCATTTTTAAGAATTGTTGATTTTATCATGACAATTTTATTTAGCCCTACTGGTACTCCTTTCTTGTAAATTGCTCTGATCTCGTCCGAAAGAAATAGCAGTATAAAAATAAAATAATAACAATGAAGCCTCACATTTGTGTTATCATTCAATCTACTGCCAATCTCAGATTCCCAAAAATATTAAGCATGGCTTGAGAAAGACGAAAGAACAATTTAATTTTTTCTCTTTCTGCCTTTTTCTCTTTCTATATACTATATCTACATCCATTCTTAAGCAGCAACCATGGAAAACCGTCTTTAGAGATGAAAAAAAATAATACTGCCAGCATCACCGATGGCAATGGAGCCTCATTTCTAGCACAGATAGTCTACCAACTGAAGGCCAATTACCACATAATTCTTACCTTGTCTAAAATCTGTCTCAGAAGAAATGAATGATTGGCCCTCACTGTCAGTGCTGCATACATCACTATGGTGAGATTTATATTTTCGTACGTGCTCTGAAAGAATTGTAAAGAAACAGAAGAGAACAAAGCTTATCAAGGGTTTAATGCAGTCACTGACTTTCTTCCACAACAGGAGTGCATAATTTTTCCTGGTAGGTAGAGGGTTGCATTGTACATCCCATTATTAGTGGTGCTGAAAACTGTTTCTGAACTCCATGGGTTATAATGCACTGTACAAAATGGGAAATATTTCCCAGAGTGATCTTTTCATAAATAATGTCTGCATTTCACTATCTAGTTAAACGAAAACTAGGAAGGAACATTGGCCCAAATTGGTATCCCTAACATTATGTTTGGAAATGCAAACTATGATTTCTGCCATGTGCTAAAATATTGAGTGTCTTTGATGGAAAAAATATTTTTCTGTAAAAAATAATTTGTGATATAGGCTGCCTACCTATAAAGTTAATCAATTTTCAGAAGCCTTAGGAAATGATAATGCATTCTCAAACCTGATTAGAACGAGAATTTTAGGTTCAGAGGCACTTAGAAATAACGAAGGAATGGAAAGATCCTTTGCAAAAATGTTTATCCCTTCCCTCACTTTCTTTTTATAGTAATTGTATTTAAAATTACAATTGAAACAATTAAAAATAAATATAAACTGAAAAGGAAGAAAAAAATATAGGATGTGCAAAAAATAGAAAAAATAGTAAAGAAAAATAAATAATTATTTTTTGCCTTCATTGAAACAAGTAGAAACAATTTCTCTTAAAATATAGCAATGATTTATTCTTCCCATATTCTATCTCTTATCTATAAACAAATTCTAAAAACGTTATCGTTTCAGTCCTGATATCAGCAAAAGTACATTATGGGTTACCAGAGACAACCAAGTATATATTTCAAGTTTTCAAATAAACCAACTTTATATTTCGTCCTTTTATTTCTAACAATTTTGATTTTTACTCCCTTCAAATAATGTCCTAGATTTTCTTTTCAATTTTTTTGTTTCTTCTTCTCACAAAATTCCTCAAAGTTTTAACAAGCCTCTGCTGTAAATCATATATGAAGTATGAATATGAAAATTACCCAGGTCATTCTCTTGGTTTATCATATGTATATTAATTATTAAGACTTTACCCAATTTATTTTGTATGTCACTCTTCTAGCCAGTCCTTTTTAAATCCATTTTAAATCTTGTCAAGTAATACTTATCCCTATTTCTATAACATCTTTTAAACACAGTCTATCTAGAGAGGTAGGCTCTTTAAAATTAACTTGTGGGTCCATTGTTCAGAAATATCTTTCAATATGTCCAAATTTAAGTGTTCTTTAATTATGGCTTTTAGTTTACTTCTACTTCTCTTCAATGTCCAATTTTTAAAATCTTATGTTACTTTTAAGAATTCAAAACAAAAACATTTTCCCATGGGAGGGATTCTTGTAATTAATTGCAAAATCCCATTTTAAATCCATCTGGATCCTCAGTCTACAATCCAAGTCTAACAAATTTGAAGAATGGTTCCTTTTGACTGTAATTTAGATGTATTTCCTTTATAGCTAAGTTAATGAAGCTTTAAATCATTTGTTTATTTACATTCTGGAAGAAGAAAAATGTGTTCATAAAACATAGTAATGGTGTTATTTTTAAATGTTATAAAGTTATTTACAATATTATAAAAATCCATTCTAATGATAAATGTCATATTACAAGGGGGCCAAAATCATATAAAATTTCCGAGATGTGGAACTATGAGAGGTTCTTCTCTTCTCTCAAACCAAATCCTTCCCACACAACTGAAGCAACAGCCTCCAATCTTGCCAGCTTGTTCAGTAAGCCATATATTACATTCCAAGTCTGAAGTTACAGCTGCCCAAACCACATTAAATCAGATCTAATAATCACTGGATTTAATGAGAAAAAATATTGCTTGGTAAGCAATATATAGTGTCAAGTTTGCTCATGCAAAAAAACCACAAACTTGTTGTGAAACCGAGAATTTATCTTCTAAAATAAAACAGAATTAAAACATTTAAATTATTGGTGAAGATCAGGGAATGGTTAGACTAAAAAAGTAATAGTTGTTTATTATTCCCTGCTGTAGAGAAGTAATTATTATAATGTTATAAGTTTAACCATGAATTATTTTCATATAGAAAGACAGCAATTACAGATGTAATTGGGCATTGTGAAGCTTGCATGAAAGATTCAGAAGAGGTAATTAGCACAGTAATGACAGCTTGTGCATCCTGTTTAGCTAAATCCTGGATCTAATGTACGATGTGTCTCAAATTATTATCACGATACAAAGAAGATCACGGTGATGTTACAGCATTGACTTAACTCTGAGAACATCAAGCTCTACCTACTACCCCTGAACGAGGATAGGCAATGGAAAGAAGCAACACTCATCAGGTTTTATTTATGTATTCATTTATCAGAACATGGGATGGTCAACCTGAGAGGCATGTGGTTGCAGATAAGCATAGAATTATGGGGGGGAAGTCATTGAAGACATTGAGGTTAAGTTAATCAGTGAAAACATGATCAATTCTGAATCTCTGTGGGCTGAATTTAGCTTCTGAGGTAGCTCTCTATGATAACCTTATAGAACAGAAGTATTATAGAAGATAATTATTACATTTTGATTTCTGGCTTCAACATGTTGCTTTGTAAGAATGGAAACACTTGAATTTTGTACAATTATGCTTTGGGATCCATCTGAAACAATACAAGCCGATCTTATTTTTATTGAGAATGCTGTAACAGAAATTGTTCTTGCGGTTGTTTTAAATAAAGTTTAGGTAATTGTAAAACTAACTGCACTTTTAATATCAGATGCTGATGTCAGAATGACAGGAAATTTCATTATTTGGAATTATTATGTGGTAATTCTCACATGGTCAAAAGTAAATAACCTAATGCCAAATCTGTCTGTTAACAAAAAGGGAGGCAGCTGGAAACTAGAAAAAGAACATTTTTATGCTTTTCTGTTCTTTGGGCACAAGAATTTTAAGTATTAATTTTATTATAAATGGAGCTTGTATTTGATACACAATACTTGCTTTTCTGACAGTTACACATATATTCTACAATACCTACTTATTTGAGCTTTTGTGTTCTTGGGAAGCTATTCTTCATTTCTTGGTTGAATTATCAGCTGGGGAAAACTGCTGTTCGCTGCATGAGTTTAGATGAAGTTCTGAAATTCCAGTGGCAGTGTCAAGAGCTAAGCTTTTGTTCATGCTACTCCAGAGTCTCCACACAGCCCCCAAAGTTGAATTCAAAGCATTGAATACAATGTTTGCAAATGGTCTTTCAACTAGATTGTATCTAAACGTAAGCATTTTTAACTTAAGATTTCTGCAACACTTGAAATCCTGCCACCCCAAATCATAGGTCTCTCTACTTTGTCTAACAGGAACTGCAATCTGGAAACCTCTGCAAGGTCATACTTAGTTAATTGATGAAGCTGAAAGATTAAAGGAATCACGGAGAAAAAAGGTTGCGTCATAAATTCTAGTGCAAACAGAATATAACCAGAATATAATCCTGATGGATTCACGTCCTCTAAAAACTGATTTTATTTTTTCTTAGATACCTTCCACTAAGTGGGTACAGTGGCTCAGTGGTTAAAGACACTGAGCTTCTCAACTAACAGTCCAGGTTCGAGACCTGAGTGCTGTACAATGGGATGAGCTTCCGTTACTTGCCTCAGTTCCTCCCCACCTAACAGTTCAAAAGCATGCAAATGTGAGTAGGCAAATAGGTACCACTTTGGCAGGAGAATCATAAACTTTGGTGGGAAGGTGATGCAGGCCACATGACCATGGCAACGCCTTTGGACAAGGCTGCCTCCCTTGACTAAGAAACGGAGATGAGCACCAGCCCAGAAACGACTGGATAGAAGAAACCTTTACCTTTTCTAGTACCAAATATGTAATATAGGAAATGTCTCTCTCACACAAACATATGTCATTTTCACAATGTGAAGGATGCCACATGTCAACTATAATATGCAGAAAAATCTACTGACCTTCTACATTCATGGCTTCCCTCAGCAACTGCAATTTCTTCTGCTTCTCTTTGATCCTGTCAAAGGCACATAATAAGGCTGCCGATGTTGAGGTCTCTGATACGTGAAGCATTTGGTCAAGTTTTTGAGGGCCAAATATATCAAGGGCTATGCTCCCATCAGAATATCTGCCTTCTTTGTTTATGGGAGCTCCTGAAGTCCGCCCTGAAATGGTTCTGCCTTGATGATGGTGCTTAGGAGAATCTGTGACATAGTCCCCCTCTGTGACTTTGTGAGTTGCGCACAACAAATCAGAGGAAGAAGCCCATACTTTGCGTTTGGGATCACTGTTGGCTTTCTTTTCCTGGTTGGAAGCTCTGAATCGGTAAGGACAGCAACTATCTGTACTGTCTTCATGGACAGAATTGTAATCAGAGGCAATATTTTGAGAAAATTCCTTTTCACCAGGTGAGTTACTGGTTGACAAGAACTCCATTGACTTACTAAGCCCTTTGTTAAGCGTGGTTTGCTGAGAAAGTGGGGCTAGGTAACCAGCTGGTGCATCAGTCATTCTTCCTGGAATGAGAATGAGAAGAATCTCTCTTGGATATGGCTATAGTTAAACCCTTCTTAATTGTCATTTTTTCTAGAATTGGATTGAATATACACTCCTCTTACAGGTAGGTTTTCTTTTTAGTTAAGTTAGGTTCTAACCAGCTGAATATCAAAACAGTGAAAATAAATGTGCGCATTCAAAAGAAATTACATTGCTTCTGTTCATCTGTAGCATCTAAAATAATATTCTCTTTAATTATGACATTTTTATCATGTTTTTATCATGAAGAACACAGGCTTTAAAACACAGGCTTTAAAATGTTAAATGAACACAGGCTTTAAAATGCTAAATGCTAATTCCTTCCTTCCTTCCTTCCTTCCTTCCTTCCTTCCTTCCTTCCTTCCTTCCTTCCTTCCTTCCTTCCTTCCTTCCTTCCTTCCTTCCTTCCTTCCTTCCTTCCTTCCTTCCTTCCTTCCTGTGGACCAACTCAACTTTCTTTGCTTTGCTTCTTGATCTTTTAATGTCAACATTAAAGTATCAAAGTTTTCCACAAAGTATTTAAATGGACCAGCTCACATTTGAATTTATTCAAGCAGTACCACATTGCACCTGGCATTCCTAATCTCATTCTGATGGCTTCTTCATAATAAATAGTGTTTCAGAGAAATATAATCTGCTCATTTTCATATTGCACCAAATAGGAAAGAGTCCAAGGATACATTAGAAGGACAAAATTAAATTCTGCCCAAGAGACAAATATAGCTTTATTGATAATGTCTCAACTGGGAAACCTATCAACAGCTGAGGCTGTTATCTAACACTTAATAAATTACATTACAGGTTAGCAACAACCAATGATAAAAAAAATCTCATATTCTCAATTTCATTAGACTAATCACAATGAAGTTAATGAAAGTTATCAAGTTTTTCTCTGCTAACATTTCAGCATTTTTCACTTTCAGCTCATGAAAATTGTTTATATTGATTCTTTTTTATTTTCTTCAGAAAAAACATGCTGGCTAGGGAAATATTGGAAGTTGAATTCCACACTTCTTAAGAATTGCAAGTTTGGGAAATAGTGATTTAGGACATGCCATTTTAATTTATCTTAAAGTCTTGTTACATTATGATAGATAGATAGATAGATAGATAGATAGATAGATAGATAGATAGATAGATAGATAGATA